AAAGGTCAGGGGAAAAATGATGAACTATCTCTATTTTCCAAACCGACCACAAAGTAATTTTTGCCATAATGCAGATCTCAGCAAAAGTGTTTCATATGGGAAGTGGAAAACTGATAAAATAATTTTTTCCTGCATATTTCTGATAAGAATGTTACAGGAAACACTCATGTGTTCTTACACTTTTCTTTCCTGGGCTTCAAAGTGATGTTTAGTGACCTTATCTAAGCTGTCTTTTCTAAAACTAAGCCCTAATGACAGCTTTCTGGGTTAATAAGGCACCCCAACATTATTTCCAGGTAATCTGGGCACCACTTCGTTTAATGTCCTGATCTGTGGTTTCCCATATTTGCGTATTCTATAGGCAACCTGCTCATAAAAACTAACTCCTTGTTTTAACCCTGCATGTAAACTAACCAGGTGTTAAGTTTACTGTGTTTTACCCACAAACAGTCTACGTCATAATACTGTTGTCTGAAAGGATGATTTTTCTTTGTATTTTTGTATACTGAGGTTGTACATTCACATTTATGTCCTGTCTGCTGTTTGTCGCCAAGAGAATTTTAAAGACTTCTTAACTATGCACTGAGTGTATTAGTCAGCTTTTCCTGCCACAATACCGGACACCCACTACTTTCAAAAGAGGTGTAACTGGTCTCATGGTTTCAGAGGAGTTAATCCATGATCCGTTGATTCCAAGGGAGAAACGTCATGGAGGGAGGGTATGGTGAAGCAAAGCTGCTCAGTTCATGGGATCTAGGAAGCAGAACAGAGAAGTAAAGCCAGAAAAGAAGGGGCTGGTGACCACATACTGTAGAGTAGTCAAGGTCATACCTCCATGACCTACCAAGTCACCCTCAGAAATGTGCTTAACTAGTCTGCTAGGCCTTCTTCCCTCCCTCCCTCCCTCCCTTCCTTTCCTCCTTTTAGTACTCAGATTGAACCCAAGCCTTAACACCCCAAGCCCATTATATATTTTTTATTTTGAGACAGGACCCCATGAAGTTGCCTAGTCTGGGCTCAAACTTATACCCTCCTGTCTCAGTCTCCCAGAGTCCTGGGATTACAGGCATGCATGACTATATGTGGCTTAGGTAGATGTTTCTTAATTCAATCAAGTTGACATATCATGATTAATGGTCACACTGGACATTTTTGTCATAACAAAATATCTTCAAAAATAATGTCTTTTAACAGTATTCATTATCTTTGTTAGAACATAATATATAGAAATGTAGTCACCTTTAACAAATATAGGTCCCTACTGGAAGCCGCAGCTAACGTCATCTCTAGTTAGTCTATGGTGAACATCAAGAATGGATTCCCCATTGTGGTCTGGGTAGCACAGAGCTTTCAAGAGCTTGTGTGCTAAGTCATCTCAAAAAGGCAAAAGGAAGAGTTAAGTTGACCTCTCCCCTGTGTATGAGGCTTTAATTGTCTTCCACAGTCCGGGGAGAAAGATGATCTTTGAGAAAAGAAAACAAGCATTTCTTAAATAAAGAGGAGATGAGACTGAAAATTAAATTTGAAGTGCCTAGGGTCAGAGAGTTAAACAAGACCTGAACATTTTTGCAAATACAACGTGAAGAGAGGGTGGGAGGAGATGGTAATTTATAGTTACAGCCAAAAAATTATTTAGATCAGGAGAGTATTTCTAGATGAAGGGAGTAAGTAAAGCTACTAGCTTGTAATGTTGATTCTAGAAATGGACTCTTCAAGAGAACTTAATATAACCCTAGCTCTTAAATAATTCTTAGGGATGAGGGACCTCTAGCAACTGACCAGTTCCCACACAATGAAACATTAAGCACAATACCTCATAAATAAAAGCTCCAAACTTGTTCACCAAAATGAATAATAATGCTGTTTTTAAGAAGAAATAGTAAGAAAATGTGTGTCTGTCTGTGTATGTATGTGTGTCCTTTCCCATTATATTATAATTTTTAGTAGAGAAAAAAATTTAGTCAGCTATATAAAAAATTTTGATTTCTGTTGTGCAGAAATATATAGGAATATATAGATTTAAAAGCTAAGCACAAAGCAGAAAAGTAATTGCAATACCTGACTAAGTTCTATATAAAGAACCCCCACAGATCAATAAGGACCACAATAGGCAAAAGATTTATCTGTATTTCCATATTAGTAGGAGAAATATAAGTAGCCAATAAACATTTTAATTTTTCCTTATTAGATAAATTCAAATTGAAACAACAATGAGATTATTTCCATCTTGGATTGTTAAAGGGTAAAAGCTTTAACAGCCTGTGGTTTTGTAACAAGGGGAGAATACAGGCACTTTTGTATATTTTGGAGTGACATATTCAAGGACAAAACTGTCCATAAAGGCAAATTGCCCATGGATCCAGCTTTCCCTTGGTAAAAAGTTGCCCTATGGTAATATGTGCACAAATGAAGTAAGATACCTGTGTCAAGATACTTGCTGGAGCAAGTACTTTATAAGAAGCCGTAACAATTATAGAATAAAACTAAATTTCCATCATCATGAATTTAATTCCTTTAAGGTCTGCCTAGCTTTGTCATTTCCATAGTGTCATGCATTGGAGTCATATAGGAAGTAGACTTTCAAATGGCTTCTTGTACTTAGGCATTTAAGTTTCCTTCATATCTCTTCATGTCTTACAAATTCATTTTTTAAAATATTTAACAATATTCCATTGTATGGATGTATTACATTTTATTTTTCCCTTCACTTGCTGAAGGACATCTTGGTTGCCTCAAAGTTTTGGCAATTACAAATAAAGCTTCTATAAACATTCATGTATAAGTTTTATGTGGATATACATTTTCAAGTCACTTGAGCCTTTGCCAAGGAATATAATTGCTGGGTTGCATAAGAAGAGTATGCTTAATTTTGTAAGAAGCTGCCAAACTGTCTTCCAGAATCATGGTGTCCTTCTACATTCCCATCAGCAATGAATGAGAATTCCTGTTGCTCCATATCCTCGCTACATTTGATGTTATCAAAACTTTGCAATTTAGCTATTTAATAGATATGTAGTAGTATCTCATTATTTGCAAGTTTAATTTCACACTGACATACTGACATGTGCTGTTAAATGTCTTCTTATGTTCTTACTTGCTATCTGTACATCTTTTTGGATGAGGAGTCTATTCATGTCTTTTCTGTGTTTTTTATGCAAGTTGTTTATTTTCTTCTTCGTACTGTTGGATAATAGTTCTTTACTAGATGTGTATTTTGTAAATATTTTCTCCCAGTCTGTGGCTTGGTTTCTTATTTTCTTGACATTGTCTTTCACAGAACACAAGTTTTGTTTTGTTTTTTTATTTCTGTTTTTTTGAGTTAGGGTCTCACTCTGTAGTTCAGGGTGGCTTTGAACTTACTCTGTAGACCAGGCTGGCCTCAAACTCATGGTGATCCTCCTGCCTCAGCCTCCCAAGTGCTGGGATTACAGACATTGCCCACCATGCCCAGCCTAGAGCACAGGTTTTAATTTTAATAAAGTCTAGCTCATCAATTATTTGTTTCATGGATAATGCCTTGGTGTTAAGTCTAAAAAGTCACTCTATACCCAAAGTCAATTAAGTTTCCTTTTATGTTGCAGGGGTTTTATGGTTTTGTATATTTATATTTAGGTCTATGATCCATTTTGTGTCAGTTTTTGTGCAGTTTAAGGTCTAGATCTAGATTCATTTTTTTGTATATAGATATCCAGTTGTTGAGTAACATTTGTTGTAAAGACCTATCTTTGTTCCACAGTACTGCCTTGCCTCCTTTCTTAAAGATCAGTTGATTGTATTTGTGTGATATGCATTTTACTTTTATAACCAGAATAAAAATTGTGATATATAGAAAAAGTTTTAATGAGGCAACTTCAATAAAAGCATGTAGAAAACAAAACAATCCCACTTTTACCCCGTCACATACACTCCAAGATCACCAGGGTCAAATTAAGCAGGCTAGGGAGAACCAAAGCCAATGCAGAGGGTTTGCTGGATGGGGAGTGCACTGCAGACAATGGTGTGTGTGTGGGTAGCACCAGAAGACAAACAGAGCTCAGAGTTTTGAGGCAGTAAAGACAAGATGGGAAACAGCATCCCAGAAAGGGAGCTTGGATTACCATCAGAGGTTCCTAATGCAAGTAGAAAGGAAGAAACAGGAAGGGATTCCAGACAGATGGACAGAGTTGCCCAAGTGAAACAGTGCTTGATTGAAAGCTGAAGGTTGCTGCTTTTTGTCCTTAATAAGTTGCCAACTTGGAAATAGGGTAGAAACCAAAGTGAATGAACAACATGGGGTCTTTCTTTTTGAGACGTGCAAGAGAAAATTTCTTGCCGAAGAATGCTCAGTGGGGTTGTTGTTGTTGATGCCTTATGCACCAACAAATTTAAGAGTCTTGTGAATTTGGGGCCTTGGACTATTTCTGATCTACAAACTTGTTTTGTTTCTCACTTACTGTAGCACATTTTGAAATAGAATGAATGGGAAGTAATATCAAATGTATGTCCAGAAGTGCTCCCTGTTGGTCAGGGAGTTCACTCCTGTTGTAAGAGTATTAGAACAGGGGTACTGACTCAAAGTGTCTTGTCATCAAGACACCAAGGTAAAGGTCCTCAAACACTTTGAGGCCATCTGGCTGAAGGAAACCAACATTATCTGGGCTTGATAAGCAAATAACCTTTTACCCCATCAGAAATACCTATGATCTTTAACATGCATGATTATGAATGGATTGGTACCACTTCATCCCACACTGGGCCACTACTGATACAAGACAGATCTAGAGTTAGTTCTCCCCACCCTCAGAATGGCCTTACCAATGAATTTGGTTATTCAGTCAGTCAGTACAGAAGACAGCTGAATGGACTTTATGTGGTCAGGTTGGTGTTAAGCTCTATAAAGCCTGTACATAGCAGAGAGTTTCATTCTGGTGGCTCCGCCAGGGAGGAGCTTCTGATTAGACCATTTTGGAGCTCTATTGTAAAGGCCATGTTCCTTCAGCCCTGCTTTCTTTCATTTCCAGAAGATTCCATGGTCAACAAAGACTCTGGCCAAGAGTCAGAGTCCATTCCAGAATATACAGCTGAAGAAGAGCGTGAAGACAACCGGCTGTGGAGGACAGTGGTGATCGGAGAACAAGAGCAACGGATTGACATGAAGGTCATCGAGCCCTACAGGAGAGTCATTTCTCACGGAGGTAGTCATGCTCTGAGAATCTGGGAAATGGGGTGGGGGCAGGCATAGTTTTAAATTGGAAAACAGAGGTGAGGTTCTCTGAGGTGTGACATCCCAAAGATCCTATTCTGCAGTCTATGTTCAGGGGACTGAGAGCTAAGGACATTACTTTATGCTCTCTAGTCATTAAAAATTTGAAAATCTAATAGGCAAAAACGATTTTCCAGTGTAAAAGAGAAAAGCTTTTCACAGCTCATATCCAATACCATTAAGATTTTTGTGCAAATTTCTCAAAAGCCATAGCCATCCAATGTGATGATGTCTGTATAGAATTCCTGTCAGTGGGTTATGATGTTGAACTGAACAGTTTAGAGTAGACAACACCATGGACCCTAGTAAAGCCACTACTTCTGAGGGGCTTCTAGTCACAAAATGTCTTTTGAGTCCTCTTCAGATGCTTTAGGAATCTTTTTAGACTCAGTCTGATAACTTCTTCCTTATCTAAAGTTTGCATTTCTGTAAACTACCTTATATCTAGGCCTCACAACAGCTGATCCCAGCCAAACCCTCCACCTTTCTAGTGAGGGACCAGGAAAGGGGAAAGTATATTTGTGTTTCCAGTGCTTTCTTGAGGTCTCCAGGAGGATGTGTGGCCTTGACTAATATGGAACTCATCAAAAGTTAGGCGAGCACTAGCAACACATTTAACATTATCGACTTCAGAAAACATCAACGGCTTTTTTATTATTCTCCTGCATGTGTTCCTTTGCTGCCATCCCCTGATGCTACTTTTACCACCCAGCTGTCCCAGAAAAAGTACAAGTTGACAAGGCAATTGTTGCTCTCCACATTCTCTCTTCCAGAATGAGGACAGGGAAATAAGAGTCTTGACACTGCATTAAATCCACAGCACTTGTTTTCTAAGGAGCACAAAGACATATTATTATTTCAGTCAAACGTCCCTCTACCAGTAGGTCCTCCACTTTCTATCCCTTGCATTGCTCCCTCATATAAGTACCAGGACCACCAAGTTAACCCAAATGTGACAGTGAAGGAAGCAGCCAGCTGGAACTCTTGGTCATGACCTCTTTCTCTTCTCTCATTATGCAACCTGAAATAGCAACATGGCCTCATGATACCTGCTCTCAGGGCTGGGTCTGTTCCCTGTAAGAGAAATCTTTTTCACAGTCCTTTAGAACCAAGGCTGGCCTGATCTTGCTGAGAGGGACAGACACCTGACCCATGAGTCAACCCTTTTGTTCTTAGTATGAAAACCACAACTGGAACACTTCCCATACCTTCCCGGGGGGTTACTACTTCTTGGCACCACCCACCAGATACTTTTGGTTTGTTTGCATTGAGGAAATCAAAACAAAGCAAAGGCTAACTATGAAAGTAGTCTAACACTGAAAGTAGTCTTACTGAAAGTAGCCTTACACTAAAACGTATAGAAAATGGAGAAGTTTGTCAAAGTAAATCAAAGTCATGCCGTGATGATCTTTATACACATTCGTATGCCTCAGATCTTAAGAGTTCTCATGTTATAAGGGAGACAGGTGTATAGTTTTGCTGCTATGGTAAGGGCAAGTCATCTCAATACTTCAGTGGACTCACCTACTCATTTTTCAGCTGCAGTGAAACCAGGTGGGTTGGGTAGATGGTTGTCAATCCCATCGCCCTGGTATGCAGATCACCCGTCCTCTGAAGGGCAGGAAAAGCCACTGCCTTTGCCTGTGCTAGTCTTTGTAGAAATCTGCCTGAGCACTCTGTGCTGACCTGGTTTGCTGAGCTCTCCATCCCCGCCACCTCCTGACCTTGGCATCTGCTCATCTCCATCCTCTGTTGCGCAAGCTTGGTTCTTTGTCTGTGTGACTGTCTGGTTTGTTTGGAAGAGTCCTCCTCCCCTCTCCCAGGCTCCCCTTGGCCTTCTCCAGGCACTGGGCTGCATGAATGTGTCTCTGGCTGCACCCTTCTGGCACATTAGCGAGATGCCACCTTTTCTTCCATACTGAACAGCTTCTATGCTCTGCAGGCAAAGATCGTTCCGATGTTACTTCTGAATTGGCCGAAGCATTGTCTTCCTTACTGGAAACTTATACCACTCTCTTAGATCTTATGGTGGTGAAGTGTCCTGTCACCCTGGCTTCTGATGAACATTTAAAGAGCAGACTCCATGAGGCTACTTTCCCCTTAGTGCCAGCTAAGCAACACTCCGTGCATTCAACTGCAAGGTGGGAGTGATCAAAAGAGTTGCAGGAAGTGGCCCCAAAGTCAGGCACTGCCAACTGTTCCCAGCTGTGTTTAAAGAAATAATACTAAAGTCTTCAGCTTGGTATGAGCTGACAGAGGCCCTGTCCACACTGTACAAGAATGAATTCAAGGCCTGTCTTTGTCACTTGCAAGCCTCTGAACTTAGCACTTCACTTCCTTCTCAGGGCCTCAGTGACTTTATTAGTCAAATGAGGGTGATAAATTGCACTGGTGTTTATAACCCATAATCCTAGGAGCAATATCCCTGTCATCTGCTTAACTAAAAAAAAAAAAAACCAAACAGCATCATGGGTAGTTTTGCTCAGTCAATGGCGTGGGGTCACATGGAGGCCAGAACTGGCTTTTTTGAACTTAAAACAGAAAACATTTAAATAACCAAGAATAATCACACTGAAGAATGTTAACAAGGAGTTTCCCTTCTTTTTTCTTTCTTTCTTTTTACTTCTTTTATTTCATTCTAGGAGATTCAGGTAACCTTCTCTGCAGCGTTGCTGGACAAATGCTCCTGGAAAGAATGAGCAGAAGAGCTTCTGGCTGGTGTGTGTGTGTGTATATGTTTTGGTTGCGACTGTGACATCTTTCCTCCTCTCTCCATTCCATTTGCTGGCCGGCAAACTTGTGTTACATCCCTTTTATGCTTCTCTGTGCCACCGCAGGTAAGGTTTGCCATCGCTGCCCTGAGGGTCCCGGGAGGCTCCACGGCAGGCTTGTGCCTGTGTCGCAGCACAGGACCCTATGATTACCTCACGTTCACTGACAGTCTGACAAAATACATGGCCTAAAACCAAGCTCCCTGTGGATTATACTGCTGCCAGTAGAAAGCTTTACCTGAATTAGCTGTTTATTTTAGGACAGAAATTGAAGGCTTAGTTCACCCAAGAAAGCATCAGAGTAGGGGTGGGGGCAAAAAGCATACAGTCCTGCTCATTCTAGGTGTTGCATTTTGCCAGCAATCACTGTCTGAAGTATCTCTGAAGCCTGTGAAAATGACATCAACTCTTGATTTAGGAAGAACATTTTCATGATGAAATCTTTTTTTCTATTTCCTGTCTTAGATCTTCTCCTCTCCTCCTATTTTCTTCTTTTCCCCATTGCCTCTTCTTCCTTCTTACAGCAGCTCTACCCAAAAGTACAGAGCCATTTTTCATTTGTAAATTCCAGCCATTTTGATTTAAAGAGACATTCCTTGGCTTAGATAAGTCGATCCCTCTGTATTTCTTTGGCTAAATGAACTCCAGTGAGCAGGATGCTGCAGCATTCTAAGAACTGATAGCATGGGTGAGTTGCCTTTGAAGATGACTTCAGAAGTACTGTTTAGGAACCTCTCTTCATTTAAAAAAAAAGTCTCTAAGGAATCCTCTAGAAATAGAAAAAGAAATCAAAGTACTGAGTAGTCATGAACTTGAAATTATTCTGACACACTGGAGCCAGGAAACTACATTTAGAAAGATGTATTCTTACTTGTTTTTAAGTTAGACGTTATGCCTGTTGTCTATTTGCATGACTTCTTAGCTTTCCACTGTGCTGAGTCTGAATCATATGTGTTCACGGTGTTAGCTAAGCCAGCATATCGTTTGTGGATTTCCACTTACTTATGAATCCTCAGAAATGAAATTTTCTGGTGGAACAAGGACTTCTTGTATTCTTTCTACCTTTTTCTTTATATATGCATTCTAAAAAGAAAATGATGAATACCTACAGATTGGAAAATATGGAACTAAATAAAAAAATCCAGAACGAAGCTAATGTAATGCCCTCTTACAAACAGGTGTTCAGGTGTTGGGTTGGGTATATATTTACGTAAGTAGCATTTTCTAAGATAAGTGCTATGAATACAGTACATAACACCTTCAAATTAGTAATACAACCCACAGCTCGATATATTTTTAGCTACTTCACTCTTCGCCCACCTTGTTTGTGGTAGAGTCATACTCTGTTTTTTTAGAGAGCATCTTATTAAACTGCTTTTCAAGAGTTGATCCCATCCAAATCTATACCCAGCCAGTGTTTTACTGCCATTTAATCATGAGGGGGATATTTAGGGTTCTGAAAAAAGGAAATGTGCAAGTTCCAGGATGACTGGATCAGGCATAAGCACATGTGCTGTCCTCCTACTCAGAGTGTTGAGGGAATCTCTACTGAATGACTCTGAAGGCCAGAATTATGTGATACAAACTGCAAATATTTAAATGGGGATATTAAAAATGATAGGGGCTGGTGGTGTTGCTCAGTGGTAAAGCATGTGCTTAGCATGGGTGAGGCCCTGGGTTAAATCACCAGCACCCTCCCCCAAAAATGACAAGATAGAGCATTGCTTCCTTTTTGAAGTGCCAAAGGTACATTTCATTCCAGCCGCCTACCTATGAGTATTTGACAAATGCCTGCCATGAATTTCAAAGGTGAGCACTAAGGGAATATAAAACTTGTTTAAAAGATTGGGCAGTGCCAGAATTATGTTAAAGTTTTATAATAGTTTCTCATAGTACTTTTTTTTCATCTATTCTCAAAAGATGAGAATAATATCCAGAGATATATTTGCATATTCCTTGACCCTTTGAATTTTAATATCCACACGTATTTTCATTGCGTGTATCTTATTTTCTCAGAATCACCTACACACAGTACTTCTATCCCACTCACATCTTATTAGGAAGTAATTCTCAAGTTTTCCCCAAAGCACATATTTTCACACAATTCAGAGAATTTAGCCAGGCCCATCTTGAGTGCTCCTCTTTAAGAGGCAAAGCTCCGAATTCTGTGCACAGTTATTGTAGGCCTGGTCAGAACTTCCCATGTATCCATGTACAGTCTGTAGGGGCCAGAGGTCCCAAGGACATTACGGAAGAGTGACCAGGTCTCAAAATCAAAAGCAAGCTATTTTACCCACCTGTTGACTAGTAGCTGATCACTGGAGAGTATGTGGCCCTGTGATAATTATATTGCAGTTTAGTGACTAAATTCATCCTTCAAATTAACTGGGGTCTAAAACCAAAAGGAGCTAAAGAGTATTAAACAGAATCTCTTTCTCAGCTCTCAGAATGAAGTATTTTATGAATTTGCTTTTAACATAATTTAGTGTTGTATAAATCAAAAAAATGTTACCTGGGAGGGGGATGGTACTTAGTTATAGAATGCTTACCTGGCATGCACGGCCCTAGGTTCAATCCCCAGCACCACAAAAATAAAATAAAATGAAAATATGTTGCCTTCTTTGATAAGTTGAATATTTATTTATACATGCCATTCATAACTATGTATAGCACATGCAATCATCTATAATATATGTATACCCTATATACACAAATATACATTTTAAAATTAATTTTATTGGTACATTTTAGGTATACAATATGATGACATTCATCATTGGAAATTTACACCTTTACATAATCTCTCTTGGTTCTTATTTTTTCCCCTTCCCCTGCCCTCCCTTCAACCCCTTTATCCCTCCCTGTTTACAAAGACTTTGTTTCCATTTTTTCATTTACTCGTATTGATTCCATTCCTTTCTTTCCTTGCCCCTCCCCCTCCCCCTCCCACTTCCCCTTTGCCCCTTTTCTTCCTATTTCACATTATCTATTATACCTTTTGGTCCTTATTTACACTTTCAGTTTCTCACATTAGAGAAACTATTCAGTATTTACACATGTATCTCCTGTTTATTTCACTTAAGTGTATTGCCTCGGTGTGCATCCACTTAGCTATAAATGTCTCTAATTTCTTATTTTTTATGGCTGAGTAGTACTCCATTTTAATTTTTAAAACCACATTTTCTTTATTCAGTCTCCAGTTGATGGGCACTTGGGCTGCTTTCAAGTTTTAGCTATTACAAATTGTGCCGCTATGAACATGGGTGCACATATATCACTGTGGTATGACTCTCTTAATACTTTGGGGAAGATCCTCAGCAGAAGAATAGCTGGGTCAAATGAGACTTCCAGTTCTAGTTCTTTGACATATCTCCATACCGATTTCCACAGTGGTTGCACCAGTCTACACTCCCACCAGCAGGGGTGTAGTGTTCCTCTTTCCCCTCAGCCCCACCAGCATTTGTTATTGGTTGATTTCTTGATAGCAGCCATTCTTTCTGGGGTGAGGTGGAATCTCAGCGTTGTTTTCATTTGCATCTCTCAAAAGACCAATGATGTTGAACATTTTTTCATGTATTTATTTCCTATTTCTATTTCTTTGTCTGAGAAATGTCTGTTCATTTCAGATGCCCATTTTTGGATTGGGTCTTTAAATTTGGGAGGTCTGATTTTTAAAGTTGTTTATAGATTCTAGATAGTAGACCTTTGTCTGAGGAACAGCTGGTGAAAATTTTTACCCACGTTGTGGGTTGTCTCTTCACACTGTTGGTGGTTTCTCTTGCTGTTCAGAAGCTTTTTAATAGGAAGAGATTCCACTTGTTAATTGTTTACTACATATTTAAGACACTATATAACATTTCAAGCACCAAGAGATAATTATATGTGTATATACTTATAGAACTGTAAGCATACTTATTCCATTATCTATCTGTGATACACGCGCGCGCGCACACACACACACACACAGACCGCACCAGCACTTCTGATTTATCCCTCTGGTTCAGCATTACCTTGTTAAGAAATTTCAGTGTTTTACCAATGTCTTTTTGTTTGTCCCTCAGGATACTATGGGGATGGTCTAAATGCCATCATTGTGTTTGCTGCTTGTTTTCTGCCAGACAGCAGTCGGGTGGATTACCACTATGTCATGGAAAATCTTTTCCTGTGAGTGCTCCTTCTGACAAAGTGCTTTGAATCAATGTCCATTGGTGTGTAATGGCAGAGAGAGGATCTCAGTTAAGGAAAGTGGATGATGTAGACTATTCAAAGCCTTTGAAAAAAAGTCAATAAGCTTTCTGTCATGGAACAGTGCTCAAAAGTCTAAAACCTCCAAAGGAACTCTCATCAGTAGAATACATGAAAAACAAAATGAGAAGAGTTTGGCTTGCATTTAAGAATTTTGTAACATTTCCTTTGGGCAAAGTGTTATTTTTGTTCCGTGATAACATGTTTGTAATCTACTGTTGGTAATTTGACTTTGTTTATATCTGCCTGTGTTTAGTATGAGTTGCCCTTAATGTTTAATAACATTGTTAACATTTTTGAAAGTCAGGTTTTGAGCTCACATATTTTCCTAGGGTACCTGCATTAAAAAAAAAGAGAGAGCCATACAAATAAATGAGCAATACTCAATCTCAGATAAATTATCTTAGGTAACTGCTTTGTTCCAAGGTAAAGAGGTAATATTACAACTATCCTTAAATGTCATTCACTCTGTAATTTAAATGTTATGTAATCAGGGTATAAATGTGATGAAATATTTCATGTGGAAACTGAAAACACTCCTCTTCCTTCCTGTGATCAGCTATGTAATAAGCACATTAGAGCTGATGGTAGCTGAAGATTATATGATTGTATATTTGAATGGTGCAACCCCAAGACGGAAGATGCCAGGCCTGGGCTGGATGAAGAAATGCTACCAGATGATTGATAGGCGGTATGTGGTCCATTATTTACCCCCCAGTTTTACTCCCTCCACTCTCTTTTAGTCTACCATGAATGCGGCCCCATTTAGAAACACTGAGCTATGCATATTTGAAGAAACAAATTACAGAAATATTAATCAAAGTATTTACTTGATGCTCCAATGCTGAAATAAAGCACATCTTATCCAGATCTCATTGAACGTAATCTCAAACCTGGCAGACCAAGTCCATTTTAAATTGTGCATGCGCTGTTGCCAGAGAGAGGTGCAATTTAAATGGATAAACCAAAATAACCATGATTTTTCAATGCTATTGTGTGAATCAGTGGCTGTTCGCCTGTCCTAGGACAATGGTGATTTGCACAGCATTGTACTTGTGTTTTCACATTCACTGTCAATTCAAGGTAACCACTACCCAATGCAGTCCTTTTCTTTGCCACTTCTTCAGGACACTACTTTTGTCCACACTGGTGTTATTAGGACGAAACACTTTATTGCCATATATAGGAAAATTGGTATAGAAAACATGTAGTTCTACAATAGCTAGTATGTATTGCATCCCCTTAGATAGGACCCCTTGCATAAAAACATGAGAATCCCCTGTTTTATTTAACTAAAATCTATCTTATGATTTGAGCATTAATAATGTAACATAGATAATGCTGAAAAGTGTGCCTAAAAATCAAGAATTGTTAAGATGGTAAATTTTCTTTTACAGAAGAAGAAACTAAGGCTTAAAAAGATTTGGTATGGCTTAAAAACTAAGGCTTAAAAAGAATTGTTATGTTTCTCCAAAATAGTAAAGATAATGTTGACAAAAATGAACAGCATCATTAAACAAAACTATGTCATCATGCTTATAAACTTATGTACTCCAAGAATAGCACCATTCTATTTTACATTTATTGGGAAAATGAGATTTGAATCATACAAGTTTCAAATTATGTCTTAAGCAGCACTTTAAAAAATTAATCCTGGCCTTTCTATGCATTTCCATATGATAGTAGTAAGATTATTCATATTCGTATGTGAATTTATTTTGTTATAATTCTCGCTGAAAATGGGTTAAGAGTAATTCATTATTTTTTCTTTTTTCAAAATAGGTTGCGCAAGAATTTGAAATCCTTCATCATTGTTCATCCATCCTGGTTCATCAGAACGATCCTTGCTGTGACACGGCCTTTTATAAGGTATAGTTGCTAGTGCAGTAAAAGTGCCAGTAAAAGTAAATGTACCGGACTTTTATAAAAGTATGTAAATCATCTCATAAACAGGAACACATAAACTAAGAGTATCTAGGAAAATTTATATTGCCTCTGTCTTTCCTGAAAAGGTACTTTGGACTATGTATCAAGTATTAAAAATGAGAATTCAGAGTGAAAATTATGAGTGGTAATTATTTCATAATAAATATTTCCCCTGATCATTATAAAACATGACCACCATGTTCCTTCCTGTAGAATATGAAGTAGGATTTCCATACCACATTATAAAAGGGCACAAACAATACTTTTTAAATGGTATGTTATTTTGTAGAGAATAAGGAAGTAGAATAGGGCTGGGGATGTAGCTCAGTGGTGCCACTCCTGCCTGGCAAGTGCAAGGTCCTGAGTTCGATCCCTGGTACAGAAAAAAAAAAGTAGAATAATATGAGAATGGGTAATAAAGATTAGCCAAGGATAGAGACAAGAGCCAATTATTATTCCATTTCTTCTGAACAAATATCATATGGGTCACCAAAATTGGATTGAATCTGGGTATCCATCTTGAGAGTTGTATTTTGATCAAACATGAAATTTCTTGATTTCAAGTCAGTGCCTGTTTTTTTCATCACTTCTTTTTTTTTTTGAGCTAGGTATTACATAACCTTATATTTGGGGGATGCAAAGAAACATAAGATATGGCTTATAGTTAGACCTGAAACAGTTACATGAAAGGTATAGTGTTTATTTTCTAGATAGCATTAAAAATAATGCTTTGCCTACCAACAATATAGATATATTGAAATTTTCTGGGTCAGTTATCAATAAATTTCTAAGGAAAGTTCTGATAAGTTCTAGAGAACAAAAATAAATGTTAAAATCCTTTGTATTTTATAGAGATTTCACTATACCTTCCAGCTTCTACTTTTTTATCAGTATTCACTTATTTCATTTTATTTCTTGTGATACTAGAACTTAAACCCAGGGTCTTCACACTGAGCTACACCCCCAGGCCTTTTTAAATATTGCTAACTTGCCATCCTCCTTCAGCCTCTCAGAGAGAAGGGATTGCAGGCATGTGCCCAAACCCCCTGCTTCACTTACTTTTATTTAGCATTTTCCTCTCTACTTCCAGTGATTGAGAAGCAGAATTCAACCTAGTTTGCATTTAGCAAAAGTTAACTGTTTTCCTAACTATGTTAAATTGCTTTTTAAGATATTATCAACTATGTGTTATACACATCCACTTAATAATTGCAAGAAACACTTTCACAAGAGAGTAGAAATCAATGTACCTTTAGTACTCATGATTTATTGATGTTTGTTTAATAATTCAGCTCTTATAATTGTAAAACAATTTTTCATGATAACAAAACATTCATTAGTTTAAGAATATTAAAAATTGATTATAATTTAACACTCTTAGGGATTGGGAGTGTGTAGCTCAGTGCTTCCCTAGTATGTGTGAGGTCCTGACTTCCATCCCTAGCATTGCAAAAAAAAAAAAATCCTTTAATTTTTTAACAGTACTGAAGGGAGCTTCAAGATAATAATGACAACAGCATAATAATATTATAGCTATGGTTGTATGGTAAATTACATCTAATGCTGGCTCCCATTCAGTAGGTGATTATATGTATTATTTCATTGAACCCTAATGAACATCCTCTGAAACAGATATCTGTTGTATTTTCCATTGTATAGGGAAAAAATCCTGAGCATTAGGGAGGTCATATAAATGGCTTACAGCAGAAGCCAGCAAATATCCTCTGTAAAGGGCCAAACAGTGAATGTTTTAGGCTTTCTTGGTGAGATGGCCTCATGCATACCCATGATCTGACATTGTCAGCCACAGACACTATGTAAACAAGCAAGGGCTGTATTTTGGTAAAACTTCACTTATCAACATTGAAATTTAATATTGAATTTCTTACAGTTTTCACATATCTCCCCCCGCCCCCCTTGGCAGTACTGGGTATTGCACTGCACTACATCCCCAGATTTTTTTTGAAAAACTTGAAACAGTTTCTTACTAAATCATTAAAATTTCCAGCTGGGCATAAATTTGCAATACTCCTGCCTCAGCCTCCCAAAATGCTGGGATCATCACAAAATATTCTTGATTGATTTTTTTTCCCCATCATTTAAAAAACTGGAGAAGCTATTCTTAGCCCCACAGCTGTGCAGAAACACTGGCAGGGAACCCGTGTTGGCCTGTGGCTGTGGTTTGGCAGCCTGGGTCCACAGTGACAGAGCCAGGAAATGATGGACCCCATGTCCCCCTTTTGGTTTAGTTTGTGCCAGTGTCACCAATTTTTTTATCTGAAAAGAGACCACTAAAATGAATTTATCATAAATTTGTTCATGGGTAAAGGGTAACATCTATGGTGGAGGTATATGGCAAGGTCATTTTTTCAAGTGAGTCACTTTTCTGTACTAAGAGCTCAGACACTGGAGATTGAAAAACTGCTCCACTCAGCTGCTCTCACTCCCTAAGGAGCTCCGAGGCCAACAGGGAACACAGCAGAGTAGACAATTGCCAGAGGTGGCACAGTTGAACCCCTTTAGGGGGCGACAGCTCAAGGTGAAGGTGAGTTCGGGGTAATACGTGGAAAGAGAAGGGTGAGTGTCTGTCAAGAGAGGCTTTCCAAAAGAGTTAGCCCTCAAGGTGCATTTTGAAAGACAAGTAGAGTTGGTGAAGTTAAGGCAAACAGCAATTCAGGTAGAGGAAACAATCAGAAGAAGGAGGGAATGCAAATGCAAGAGGAGAACATGACCGGCTCAGAGAACTATCAGTTTTAGGGAACAGGCCACTGCAGCTGGAGGATTCCCCTGTGTATCACTTCATCCTGCTGGTCACTCTTCTGCTCGGTCTTTTATTAAAACCTGAACTGAGCTCAGAACCTGCAAAGTAAGCAAGACTCTGAATGTAGTGTGTCGCTGATAATGTGTGTTGACTCAAGACTTACCAAGAGGGCTAGGGGTGACTTTATGGACAGGAAGATTGATCACAAATCATAGTCTATAGCTCAGTCAAAGTCACAAATAAAATATTAAAGAGAGATGTACAGAAAAAAACCCTTGAAAAACCTTCTAGAATGCACAGCAGTTGAAGGATCCCAAGGCAGTAGAGCTGGTAGACAGCTCAGCACGATCTCAGTAGACTGGGGAGACATGTTTGTTTTTGAAACCATTTAAGAATATTATATCCTTGAACAAATTCCCTTTCAATTGGAATGATCTTTTTAAAAATTTGTAATTATCTAAATATCAATTGATAATTATCTAAATTATCAAAACTGTTATATCCTTGAGCAAATTTCTCTTCAACTGAATGGTACATTTTAAAAATATGTAATTACCCAAATAACAAGAAAATGCATTCTTCAGAAATGCATGTCATCACTGCAGGTAGGTAAGACCAAATTCTTAATGATTACCAATCTCTCATATACAAATTGTCTTATTAGGTTCTTCGCTGTCCCAACATGTTTCCTGTGCATTTATGCCCCTGCAGAATGATCCTATCTAGATGAAAATTCTTTGTAATTCAAATTCAGTTATTGAAACATATTCTTAAAGGTTGGCCCATTTAGTTTTAAAGTTTAAAACTTTAAACTATGGGATGAACTTTAAAACTAAAACTTTTGGAGAAAATGTAAAATTATTTTTAAATAAAGCTAAAAAAATTAAAAGGAAATTGTTCGCGTGTACTTTTAAATATCATCAACCTAGGTAGATTGTGGAAGAACTGATGGCACAATTTTTGTTAAAAACAAATAAGCAAAAAACCAAAGAAAGCCTAACATGGTGACTACTTAGAGTGGGAGGTGGTCAGGAGTGTCGGACTACCTGGTCTGTCTAGGGTCTGTCACCTGCTAGTGGTGAACCCTTAGGTCTAAGTTTCCTTATCCTGAAAAAAAGAGGATAAAATAGTACCTATGTCACTAGGCTGTAATAAAAATTATATGAGTTAATATATATGAACCACTTAAAACCATACAAATACCACATAATTTCACTTCTACAGTCAGCCCTCTGTATCCATAGTTTTGCATCCATAGGTTCAACCAACCACAGATGGAAAATATTAAACAAACAAAACAAAGAATGTGTCTCTGACTATATACAGGCTTTTAGACATTTTTCTTGTCATTATTCCCTAAACAATACAGTATTAGAATAATTTACATAACATTTATATTGTAGTAGGTATTATAAGTAATCTAGTGATCATTTGAAGTATATCAGAAGATGTACATAGGTTCTATACAAATACTAGATGTAAGAGACTTGAACATGCCTGGATTTTGGCACTTGTGGGAGTTCCTAGAACAACCCCATGTAGACAGATAGGGATGGCTGTATGTGGAATCTAGAAGAGTTGAACTCGGAAGTAGAGAGATTAGTAGTTCCTGTGGCAAGGGTGGGTGAAATTTCAGAGGATACAAGATTTCAGTTAAAGGAATAAGTCCAAGAGAGCTACTATACAACTTGGTGGGTATAATTAGTAACAATGTAATATATTCTTAAATATATTGCTAAGAGAATAGATTTTAAGTGTCCTCACAAAAAAATGCTAAGTATGTGATACATAGGTTAACTAGTTCAACTAGCCATTCCACAGTATCTATGCATTTCAGAACATCACCTTGTACATGATAAATGTACCCAATTTTTATTCATCAATTTAAAAACAAGAGCAACAACCAAACAATGTCTGGCACAGTGACTACTCAAATAACATTAGCTTTTCTTCTTAGTGAGAGTGCTGGAGTGAAGTGTTTAAGTATAACATCTGGTATACTTCGAAAAGAAATGAGGGAGAAAAAAAAAGAAGGGAGAAGTAGCAACCAATGATTTTTTTCCCTTTTCTTTCAGTTCAAAATTCAGCAGTAAAATTAAGTATGTTAGTACCCTATCAGAGCTCAGCGGATTGATTCCAATGGACTGCATCCATATCCCAGAGAGCATCATCAAGTAAGTTTGATAGTCTGTGAAGATTCGGTAAGAAATAGTACATATTTGTAAAGGGCATGGAGGAGGAGGTGCAAAGAATTGACTTCTAGAATAGTGGGAAAGTAGCATCTGAGTTTTTAAAATACATATTAAATACAGTAGCAGCCAATAAACATAGTTTTTTCCCCCTATAAACCATATGTTAGTATGCTTTCTTTTTCACATAATAATGTTTTGAGGGTCATTAATTATCACTCATTTTTACCTTGAATTTTGCTTCTACTTTGGCAAAGGCATAAATTTAATATGAACCAGTATATTTGTTATTTGTGACCCCTATTCTGCACAGACAGGATAGGATCTTAGCATAGTTTGAATTTCTTTATTGCCTGCTTGACCCCAGTAAAATAGAAATAAAATAACTATTTTCTTCTAAATTCTTTGTTTTTCCCTTTTCTTCCATGATTCTCTTTAGGTATGAGACTAGGTATAGGGAATTTGCCTGTAGTGGGTAAATAAGGAATTGTTTTCTTGCTCAGTACAGGGTAATGGGGCAGCTTGCAAATAGAAAGTATGGGTAATGAAGGTCTCCAAAATAAGAATAAAAGTTAATTAAACAAATACTTGAAGCTAGGATATTAAAACAGGGATACTGGAAAATGAACATTCCTATCTGATACATTGTTGCAAAGAAGTATGTTTTTTTCTCCTATTGTACCTGATTCACCAGTTTTGTTGTGTTTTTGCTTTTGGTTAATTTGATTACAATTGAAAAGCACACAACTATCAGCTCAAAAAAAGGACAAATGTTATAAATCTTCCTCCATAAGATAGACAGCAAATGGGGCCTTTCAGTTTGGGCTTCCCAAGAGTCCCATTAGACCATACTTGAAAGAAAAAAGACACAGAAAATGGAAGGAAAGTTTCTCTTTTAATATGTGTTGGTTATGTTACCATGTGCCAGCCAAAAAGGAACTCCTGTTTATGTCATTTATTTAACTCCAATAGTAAACCCCATTTTACAAATGCAGGGAAGATAACTTAATAAGAAGTAGAAAGAACAAGTGAGAACCAGGAAAATATGAAACTAGAATTCAGGGCCGGGGATTTAGCTCAGTGGTTCTGCTGCCTGTCTTGCAAGCGCCAAGTCTCGAGTTTGATCCCCGGTACCAAAAGAAAAAAAAGAAACTAGAATTCAAATCCAGATCAGACTGGCACCCAAATTCCCATGCCCTTTTCTAGTGGATTCTTTATCTCCTTTAAAGTGTACATCTAAATTCAAAGCTCATAGTAGGTGTATTGGTTTTCCACCAACCTAGAGTAGGGCTGGACACAGGATACTGATGAACGTACAGGGTCAACTGGTTCCACTGAATCAAGTGGAATATTCATAAGATCCTAGGAATGGCTTCGATCCTTGCTGTTATAGTGTTTCCACAACCAGCACACCTCAGAGCTCAAGCCTACTGGCCCCCTAAAAGTGAACCCCATCTGCAAAATCCATGCCTACTCTTTTAAAAAGGTACTGACTGGGGCATGGTGACGCACACTTCTAATCCAAGCACTCTAGAAGGCTGACACCGGAGGATGACAAGTTTGAACCCAACCTGGGCAATTTAGGGACTTAGACCCTGTCTCAAAATTAAAAAGAAGCAGGGATGTGGCCCAGTGCAAAGCTCCGGGTTTCAGTCCTCAGTATCACCAAAAATTTAAAAAGCTGGCCGCCCACCTCATCTATAATACTGTCTCCCTTTGTCCCATTGCAAAAGGGACATTCAGGCTAACAAGAACCAGCACTGACTGCTCTCCCAGTAAATATGCAATGCTTCCCCCGTGTGGCAGAGACAGTAGAATGAAAAGAGAAAGGGCTTTGGGGGCAATTAAATAGGGACCTGCCCTCCTACTTCTCAGTGTTTATGAGACTTCAATTTATTTATTTAGTGCAGTACTAGAGATTGATCCCAGGGCCTTCTCACTGAGCTACATCCCCCAGCTTTGTTTTTGTTTTGTTTTGCAACAGGGCAGGTTTTCACTAAATTACTCAGGCTGGCTTCAGCCTCCCAGAGTCCTGGGATTATAAGCATGTGCCACCACACCCAGCCAAACAACCTATTAAAATTCTCTGAATCTCAGCTTTGGCACTTGTAAAATGGGGAAGTAATTCACACTTCATGGGATGGTCCTGAGGAGTGAGTGAGAACAATGTACATGAACCAATCAGGAAGCCTCCTGGCACAGAGCCTGCAGTCGACATTGTTATTTATTATGATCCCTATTGCTTTTGAAGACTCTGCAGCAAGAGGGAGTTCACCGTGGCCAAGGCACTTTTCATACTTCACACATCAGTTCTCAGGGCTGCATTTAGGAAGCCACTTCCAGAGGAAGGGTTCCATTTGGAAAGATTTTCTTTTGGAGGAAGAGATTTAGCAATGCGAATGTAATCCTGACATGTCTCTGTTTTCTTCTGTCTTCAGTAATACATCTCTTCGAGTTTTCTTTCTACATTCTATCATTTCTATCACTGACCCCTGTTGTTTCATTTTCACATTAAGCAATTTTCAAATTGATACAAGCCATTCAAAAGATCTGATCTCAGCCAATCCCAAGAGCAGTATTCAGCTGGGATGTAGCCTGCCATGAAAGGACTTAAATAAAAGAAGAATTTTCCCAAGTTGGATCAGATTTATAATCACTGATTATGGTTGATCCTCATTATTTGTGGCAGTTATATTCATTAAAGGCTCTGGAAATATTCAAATAGTGAATACTGAACTATTTTTCCTAGGGAAAATATAGGGTTGGGTTCCCATAGGACTCTAGGCACCTTTTCACCTCCCAACCAGTGTATAAATTGCTTTATGAGTGTTTCTGTGGTAAGGACACCTTGTTAGACTATACTGTTGATCCATTTTATTGCATACTCATATATTCTCTGGAAGGTATATCTCAACCTTCTTATGCTTTAGAATAGCAGGCAGTATTTCAGCACTATGCTGTGCCTTTTTAAATAGCAAAATCACCAACAAAAAGCACAGAAATAGGGAAACATATCTCTAAGTAAACAGAGAAAAGGACATTTGTTTACACTATAAAAGGAGAAGACAGAGCCTCGCCACATTGGACCTCAGTTGGTGATGTGCACACTTGGCCAACTCAAATTTTTTCACCTGCGCATGTCCACAAGTGACCAAAAAACTGTTTCTTATAGATCTCAGAATCACAAATACATTTTAGTGAAGAGGTAAATTTGCAAATTCCACAAATAATGAGGACTTGCTGTGCATATTTATAAAATATAAGTCATTGACTACGTCTAATGAAAGTAAGTTTTCTCCCAAAAGCCAATGGGATAATTATTAAAACATTGGTCTGTCATCTTTTCCATCTGTTTGATTATTTTCCTCATGGCATCTGTTTTTTATCTCATAAGGTACGATGAAGAGAGATCTTTTAAGAGAAGTGTGAGGTAAAAATCTCCTGATCTCTATTCATGCTGGACCCTCTGTGTGTATACTCCAGTGTTTTACTTGTGGGTGACCTCAACATGCTACCAGAGCAAGAGGTTGTGTATCAGTCCCTTCTGTACCATTTCTAGTCTTTGTCCTGTGCATAAAGCTGTTGAGGTCAACCTGATTTGCAATGGAAACCTACTGAACCAGATACACCCCTGACTTGGCCCAGGCTGCAAGCTAACTCACTGTACCCAACACACTCACCTGGGTGTTCTCAGCTTTATTCAGCCAGCATGTTTCAGATCCTCTTGCTACTTTTACATCCACCTTTATGAAGGTATTTCCAAAGTAAACATACATGAACATCCGATGGGAGGCAATTAAGCCATGTTTACCTGAATGTGTCTTGGTGCACCAGAGTAGTTTGTAAAACTACACACACCCCTTGCATTTGGCTCTGCGCTGCTGAGTTACTCTCTCATGCTCTGCTTGCTTCTTTTTTGTTTCTTTTCTACGTTGATAATTTTTGCTCATGCAGACTGGATGAAGAACTGAGAGAAGCATCAGAAGCAGCTAAGTAAGACTTCATTTTCGTTTAGCAGCTGGCTTGCATTTCAGGAATGAGCGGGGAGAATCTGCATGACTGGTGTCTCATTCTAGCATCCCGTAGACTGTAATGTTGAACTTAGAAAATTCCCTTTCTGCCGTGGTAAATGCAGTGTCTGTTGCTACTCCATCTATTTTCCCCCATGATCTTGGTTATCTTGAAGAAAGCACTTGTCAGTGTTTAATTTGTTTAAACACACATGCCATCAGACACCACAAAAAAAGAATGTAGCGCAGACACTGCCACAGAGTGTAACCTCCACATGACCTTTAGATATATCTAGGTAACAGATCCTCACTAATTCATACCTATGGTGAGAAGTTATGGCAAGTCAAAATTTGGAAGATTGTTGTAGAATCAATTTTATGTCCTTCCAAGATTTACAATGACAATGGCACCTTATTTAATGAGCTGGAAATATTGCATACCTCACAGCCTCCAAGCTGCTTCTCTGAGGGTGAGGGAGTCATTGCTCACTATTGTTGAGGTCTGATATCCAAAAAGGCAAAGTCCTAGTTCTCATGAAAATATAAATGGAACACATGCCAATGGTTTTATTCAACCAATTACTTAATGAGGGAATCAGTAAGGTATTAAAACCAATTTGAAGAGTATTTGAGAAGCTCTCTGTAGCATCCCCTCTTATCTACAGGGGATTTGTTCCAAGGCATTCCATGAATGATTCAAACCACAGATAGCATCAAAAACTATATATAGTATTATCTGTTTATTCTTAGGCATAGATACCTCTGATAAGCTTTAAATTATAAAGTAAGCAGTGTAGGAGAGTAACAATAATAGCTTATAATGAAATAGAACAATTATAACAATATACCATAATAAGTTACTTAAAACATATAAATTGTTTATTTCTGGATTGGATTTTTCAATTTAATATTTTCAGACCATGTTGGGGGCTGGTAACTAAACCCTCAGGAACCAAAATGCAGACAAGAGTGCATTACTGACTAGGCAAGTTATAAAAGAGGGCTTAGATGAGGCTTGTTAGCTCAGACACAAAAGTGGCTCGTGTCCAGTAAGGCTATAGACTGAAAGACTTGGTTATCTTTTCCAAGGCACAGAAAGTCTTTGTATTTCTGCCGGACATAAATCTACAAGTTAACCTCTGTCCCTACAGAGCTGTAAAACAGCCCTGGAAAGTTAGGGGAGAACTGCTCTGAAAGAGCACCGGTCATTTCCTTTTCTTGTTTCTAAGTTACAAAGAATTTTATGACACTTTATGTTGATTGTAGAACAAGTACTGTTTGGAAAGTTTGCTGTCTTAAGTACATTAAACTTCTACCCTATTTCAGATATTACTTATACTATTAAGTTTTACACTATTAACTTTTAACAAGCTTTCATTTTAATAGCTATTACAAAAGCAGAAAGCCTAGACAATGTCCAAACAGCTACAAAGTCTAAGTAAATATGATTTAAACAGTGAAATTTTTCTTCTTAATTGTAAAAAACAGTTCTTCATCCAAACAATCCATGTAGACACTTTTTTCCTATGGTACTTTTTAAAGGCAGGTAGCTTCTAGAATTTCCTGCCTATGTGTGGATATTTTATATTAAAAATTAAAGAAAAGATTTATGCTGATGCTGCCAGTTTCAGGAATATCCCTTGAGAACCTCAACCCTAAAGTAAAGGGCTGAATAAAAATAATTAGATTTGTTTTTTAGCAGTCCATGCCCTTGCTTTGAATTGAGTGCATAAGCCATTTGCCTGAAGAATCCTTCCCCAAGTGATTCTCTGTCTTTTGATGTTAAGTTGACAAATATTTGCAAGTTTGAGCATGTGTAAAAAGAAAGCTTTCTATTCTGTTGACTCCACCAATGACTGGAATACCTCAGAATCCTATCATTTCAGCTACAAACTACATCTCCTAAACTACGTTTCAGCCCCTTAAGTGGCCCCTAAGTCCTAGGACAGACTCTGAGGATTGAAAACCACAGTCACTATAGATCTGTGTTTAGAACCAGACACACCCAGGTCCCTCTTATTGACAGCTTTATCCAGACTCTCCACATGACTTTATTAGACAGCTTCAGGCTGGGGCTAACCAAAGGCAAATACACACTTTATCAAAGAAAAAAACCTATTTTGTCCGTGGTGTTGCTTCCTTTCTATAGTGTTTTTAAAACATTCTCTCCTCTCACATGCACACACACCATCAACACATACACTATAGCACAATCACATCCCATCTCCAATAAACTTTTAGGAGGCAGTTTGTTCATCCTGCCCCATCTTTTCTTTAAAACCTTAGATCTACACAGGAAGGAAAGTGCTTTTGAAGGATAATAGTATCCCATTCTTATTTTGCAAACAGGGAAGAATCCATCTGGTTCTGTGGAGTGACAGTGTTAAATGATTTGCAAATTGCTGTTTTCTTTGGAAGGATTATTCCAAGCTGAAAAAAAAAAAAGTAGAACGCTAGATTTGGAAAGTTGCCTTTTCTTGATCCATTCCAGCTTTGCTAAGTTTTTCTAGCACACTTTGAACACTTATTTGACTGTCCTTATTCATTAAAGTCGCCAAATATTCTCCATAAAAATACCAGACCACCAGCAAGAAGAGTAGAGAGTGAAGGAAAAAAAACAAAAACAAAACCCACTCCCTTGCCCAGGGAGATACTCTTCTGCCATTTTCAACAAAATACTTAACCTAAGTCTCAAACCTCTTATCTATAAAAATTAACTTACAAAATTATTCACATTGCAAAAGAAATATTTACATTTAAAAAGGATCATAGAATCCCCTTAAATAGTTATTTGCAAAAATATTTATGGGGAGGAGAGTAAAATTTGAAGTATAGTAAGTATTGATGAGGAATTAATAGAAAGCAAAGTTTACTAACAGAGGAATTGTTACCAATTATGGAGTATCAGAAACAGCTACTAGTGCCCAAAAAACATAAACACAATCAAAATCTTTTATTTCATTGTTTCATGTGGTTACATTTTTCTTCCTGGACATATTCAGATTGGGTTAATATTGAGATTCATTGGTGCTCTGTGAACAAATATCTGTATGGGGTGGTAAGTGTCTGGTTATTTTTCTATAACAACAAGAAAAGCTGACACTTGTATTTTCTCTTTTCTTGAAAAATCCTCATTCTTGTGAAAATTGAAAGCGGTATTCATGTATAAACAGAATTAAGCTCTGTAAGGGGGACTTTCTCTTGTGTATAAAATATTTGATTGTTTGGAATATAAATAATATTTTACAATATTTAGTTCACTGACTGAACGATTTGACAAGTCAGGCAAAAATAACAAGGACAGAGGAACTCTCTGGAGGTGTTTGGAGTTTTTAATGTTCCTTTTGTTTCTAAATCTTGGATAATTACTGTATTTCAAAACTGGTGGTAAAGGAGCCACAGCTTAATCTTGTCACCAGCTCAGGTGTCGATTTGCTCAGTAGTACCAATGGGACCACATTAAAGCAGTTCCAATGCCCCAAATCAGGGTTGGTGACATGCAGTAAAAATGGAGAAAATATTGACTGCTTCCTATTTTTTTCTTTGCACTCAGAACTAGCTGCCTTTACAATGATCCAGAAATGTCTTCTATGGAGAAGGAGTAAGAATTCCCCATCAACAACAGCTATGTGGTTACTTGTAGTGTTGTATGGCTGGGCTTGGAAAGAAAACAAAATGCATTCAGGATTGGGTAAACCCCCTTTAGATGTTCAGCTTTTATTGCGATATTCCTGAAATTAGAAACTTGAAGAGAAATTTGCCAGCTTAATCCTTCTCTTTAGTGAGCACCACTAAGGACAACTTAAGTCTTTACCCACCATTCTATTTTTCTAATCCAAAAATGAGGAGAAAATAAATATTGGAGCCAGATGGAGGAACATTTGGGCACCACAACTCTCCTTTCTGAATTATGTCATCTATTTTAATTAGTGAGAGCCAAAACTTCCACGTCCATGTAATAATTTGATGGTATGGAAGAGAGATCCTTGTTTTGCACATTCCAGGAGGCGGTTGAGTTTGCACAGGACTTTAGGAATCATTGCACTGGATGATTCTCATCCTGTGAGAAGCAGAAATCTGACACATATTGAGTTCTTAGCATGTGGCAGACTCTGTGCAAAAAGCCTACACACAGTATCTGATTTAATCCTCAGAGTAATCTTGAGGAACATTTTACAAATAAGAAAGCAAGGCATAGAGAGATTATCTGACCAGTTCAATGTTTTATAGCCATAAAAATGGCCCAGAGAGATATATTATATGCATGTACCAATCTGCCAAAATGAATCTCATTATTCTGTATTACTAATAAGCATAAAAAAATGTTTAATTGTCCAGAACTGGGATTTGAAACTTGGTCATACAGATCTGGAGCCAATAGTTTTTAAATCAGAAAGTAGCGTTCTTTGTGCTCACATAGGTGCCCCGTCACTTATTTAAGAATAAAAGTTACTCACCTAAGAGAACAGAGCTCAATAGTGGCCATGCCAGTTTCAGGGATGCAACTGTCATCACTGATGTGTTCTTAGAGAGGACATTGTGACCACCCAGCAAGGGAATCCTAATTTGGTTTGAGTGATAGAGCTTGAACATTGTTGGTATTCCCAGAAATCAAGAAAAAGAGGCAATAATCAAATGTAAATATGCCTCTGTTGTCACCTTTTATGTGCCCTCAAGGCCCACAGAGAAGTTGGAAAGACACAGTTCAATACCTCTGAGGTTGCCATGTTGACTTTACAACTTAGTCAACTTCTGTTGACTTACAACAGAAGTTCAGACGTCACAACTGAAAAGAGAACAAAGAATAAAGTTTTAATCACATGGCTATTTTCTGAAAGTCACTGTTGTCCTACCTTTTCAGATGAAGGCTACAAAGCAAATTGCCAAGTGAAATCCTGCAAAGGAAACATAAATCTCAGTCCACCATAATCCATTTTGCAAATACACAATACATTTCCTCCTTTAGCAAAACAGGACTGCTTGAGCAGTTACAGCTCACAGCCCAGTTAACAAGCTTTGTGAAAGGTATGTCCTGAATCCTGGTCACTCATTAGCCTATCGATGGCTGTTACATCTCCAGGCTTACCCACTCCTCTGCTGCTTTGTTTGGTATACAGTGCTCTTTGGGTTGGGAGAAGGAGAGCATTGCTTCTAGTGTGGGTTGGCTCTGGGATGGACATGGGGGAGGGAGGGATGCTACAAACTGTCAAAGTAACATGCCACTTGGTGGAAGAACACAATCTTCTCAAGGCCTCCCTTTCCTTCGGGTCTCTCTTTCCTGTCACTGCAGGGCACCGGATCATTATGAGAAGGGCGTGATTCTAGATAAGGGACAGGAGTTCCCTAGACTAGTTTTTCCTCCTGACTTCCAGTCCTAGATTTTTGTCTTTCTTGGTGTTGGGATGAGGGACTTTGCTTAAATTCCTCTAGCTTCGGTTCACTATAGGACACCAGGAACAGAAAAGAATACTGTATGGAAGCATTTTACACCTTCTGTAGCTAGTATGGAAAGGATAAACTGTAAAATGGGCACAAGCTCTTTCAAGTGCCTTCATCAGGCTGAAAATAAAATGAAATGTGAGCTGAAGCTGTCACATGCTTTCAATTTCCTCCAAGAAGGCAGGGAAAGTTAATGCCCTTCCCTTCCTACATAAAACAGAAATGTTTTTATTCAGCATCAAACAAGATTGTCAGAGACTTCGTAAAGAACCTCATTTAAATCTTTAGAAGTGAAAATGGCCTATTGTAAAATTATCAGATGGTTGCTTTGTCTCACTGCAAAGTTGACTATAGAAAACTTAGCTCACTCTGAGGTATATGCCTTTAAAATATTCAGTTCTGATTAAATGCAATTTTTCCCAAAAAGGATACATATTTTTCAATAGTCCCAGGTATTTTTCTCCTTCACTTTTAAGTTCAGATTTTATGTATTCATGTCCTAAGCCTGTAGCATGGCTTTGGTATTTTTACATATATTTAAAAATTATATGGTCAAAGGTGGTTCTGTTTGACTAGACTGGAATTAGTAGCATTGGCAATAACTTCATTAGTGCCACGCGATAACTGTTGTCTCCAAAATTCTTCTTCAGAGTGTTTCCTTGTATTAAATTATAAGAAAATTGTCTGCTTTTAACGGTTTCTTGCTCTTGCCATCCACTGGGTAAGTAGATTTCAGTCTTTCAGCTTTTTTGGTTACCAAAAGCTAAAGGGATGAATTAAACCCCAGGAGATTTACCAAAAAAGTCAGAACAAAAAATAAAAATGAAGTATTTTGAGATGGGCAGCCTCAGATTTTTACTGGGGGCCCAGATGGGGAAACAAAGTGACCATGTACTTTCAATTGTATATAATGTTTTTGAAAACCTTCAATTGCATGTCTTGGTTTAGACTTTTCAGGCAACATGCCTCAAAGTTTGGCTCAGTGATGCCTTCCTGGCTTGCAACAGAAAATGAGCCAACTCCATGAGAGAAAAATAAAACTGAAGGTACCAGATTTCTTGGAATCACTGCATCCCAAAGTACCTTTTAGGAACAATGCTCAAGCAATATAAAAAATGACCTGTACAGTAAAAGTATGGTAGAAGGGAAAGGAAAAAATATGAGATAAGAAATAAATGAAAACAAAGCCTTTGCAAATAGGGAGGCGGGAGGGGTTAAAGGGAGGGCAGGGGAATGGGGAAAAAATAAGAACCAAGATATACCATGTAAAGGTACAAGTTCCCAATGATGAATGTAAATGTACTGTATACCTAAAATGTACCGATAAAAGAATTTAAGAGAAATTAAGAGTATGTTAGAAAAACCCCACAGTGGATAAAAGGAGGACGTCACCAAAGTACAGTTCTCTAGATGAGAAAACAAGACCTGGCACCTGGCACCCTTCACAGTGCTGAGCATGGCTGGGCTCCAAAAACACCTTAAACAGACAAGATTATCACAAGTAGAGCAATTAAAGTAAAGAGATGATTTTCCTGTTTGAAAAACACCTGAGGTACAACCAATAAATACTAAGGCATTAGATACAGCTGAAAACACAGAGTGCTTGCTCCTTGGCATTCTGTGAGAGGCGTGATTGCTCCGTCCGATTGAAAATACACAAAAGGGGCTGGGGATTTAGCTCAGTGGTTCCGGCACCTGCTGTGAAAGCTCAAGGTCCCGAGTTCGACCTCCGGTACCAAAAAAATAAATAAAATACACAAGAGGAAGCATAGAGCAGGCAGTTGTCTTGGCCCAGTTCCCACAACTACAAAATGGTGAAATTGCTGAGGATATTTCAAAGGAAAGATCCTTTACAGCTATAAGCTAGAGAAGCAGCATGGCTTACCAACGGCTTTATTTGCAAAACTACCAGAAGGAACACTACTCAGCGGAAGAGTCCTCAAGTAAACACTGAAAGAAGCCTTTGCAGCAGGCACACCAATGATTCAGGAGGGCCAAGATAGTGCAATCTGCAGATACTTCCTAAATTGCCTTTTTCAAACCTTGTTTCTCTGTTTTTCATGACTAGAGTTCTGATTTTTCACTGGCTTTTAGTTCTCTTCCTCGAGGGTAGATGTAGTAGGAATTTGTATTTCATCCACTAAGCAGCAGAAGAGAGACACATGTAGCTTGAGGGAAAAATTTTTGTTTGTTTTGCAAGGTTGAAGATGGACTCCAGGGCCTTGCACATGTCAGGCCAGTGCTCTACCACTGAGCTACACCCCCAGCCCCAAGAAAATCTGATTTATTCCCTACATATGTGGGAACCCAGATACCCTCCCAAGTCTTTTTTTTTTTTCTTAGTTATTAAGACCCATTTTATCAAATTAGCTAGTCTTTTTAAATTAAATCCTTTGACTACTAGAAAGTAATTTTTTGTTATTTTTTTTGTTTTTGTTGCTATTATTTTACTCTTTACCACTTGCTATTTAGCACTTGTCAGATATTACTTATTTCAGGCAGATTATTATGTTTGCTTCACAAGTTTATTAAGAAAGGTTCTACAGAGAAACAGAACCAATGTTCATACCAAAATTACAAGAATGAATTTATTAGGTTGGCTCATACAGTCATAGAGGTCTGAGATCCCCACGGTGGCCTCTTGAGGGCTAAGGATTAGGAGAGCCAGTAGCTGCTCAATCCAGGAAGCCAGAAATCCCAGAATAAGAAAGAAGCCAATATGCAGGCTGGGTGTCAGGCTGAGAGCCTAAAAGTCCCCTGGAGGGCTGCTGGTGCAAGTCCTTTTTCAAGGTGTGAAGAACCTAGAGTCTGAGGGCAGAAAAACATGTCCTCAGAGGAAGGGAGGCAGCTCCTGAGCTTCCCTGACCCTCTTCCGATTTTCGGGCCCATGTCTGTCCCCAGCGATTGGCTGGTGTTGCCCACCTTAAGGACAGCCCTTTCTTTCCCGACTGGCTTCATGGCCCTCAGGACAGCTTCCCGGAAACACCCACGCAGACGCTTCCCTCCCTCAGCCCAGTCAGGGCCACAGCACAAGAGTATCCATTATTATATGGAAAAGGCATTTACTGAAAATAGATCCTTTATTTCCAAAATAGAGTAGTAGTGTTTCTTATCTGAACTGACTTCAGGAATAAGCCTTAACATGCACTGTTTGTTTCTCTGAATCATTTTGAAAAGGTGTAAAATGCTTCCAGAAAACAATTTTGTAAATAAATAAAATGTTCCTTATTTTTGAGAAAAGCTTAGCAACTAGGGGAGGATTGTGTTTTACTAGATTTTTCTAGTACTATAAAGAGCTTGCATGATTTATTTTCAGTAAGTCTTCTGAGGAAAAAAGGCAAAGACATCCCACAAAGACACTCATTATTGAGTGTTTCTCAGTTGGTTTCTCCTGTTTCTCCCTTCCTCACAGTATGGACCTGAAGCTAAAAGAAAAGCCCTAGCTGGCTCTGGCTGGAGAAGAAGGCTGCTCTTTCTTTGTGGTTCTAAAGAGAAACACATCTACCTGGAAGAGACAGGGCTGACATCACCTTTTTCCACTTCGCACTACCTGGTGCCATTCTAAATTTCTAAGGGGTGAAACAGGAAAGGAGTTTGTTTACTTTTACCATGTTCTATGAAATTGTGTGTATTTTCCTATTTTGCCAATTATGTGCCTCAGAGTTTTTAGTTGAACCTTAGCAAGAAAGTAGGACTTTCCATTTAAAGATTTTGTTTACCCTTGGTGTAGTGGTATGTGGTCCCGTAGGCAGATGTTTAGCAATATGCTAACTTTAAATCCATTGTTAAGGGTAAGTGGACTTATCCATAGATAGCTAGATTGCTTCACAGTAATCACTGAAAATTTCAAGTACACAGGGCTCACACTCTGCCATACCCAGTGAGAGTTGCTGCCCGTAATGCCACCTTTACAATTCGAAGCCTGCTTAGGAAGCCATAAGCCAGACACAGGTGTGAAAACATCATCAGCCAAGTGAATCATCATCACATAAGTCCTCTTTTACTTCTCAGAGGGAGGCCAAGGTTTCTTATATCAATTTTAATTATCATGATTACATGATTTATTTTAAATATCATGATTTACAAAAATGGATCTTTTAAAATATTATTTTCTCCTATGAATGTTGAATACCTTCATTTGAAAAACTTAAGGCTGAATTAGTGGTGGTCTATACTTTGGGCCACAAACCAGGCTCTAGAAGTTATACTTTAAGGGTAAAGAACTCAAATCCCACTCAAAAATTATTTGGGAACATTTAATTATCTAAATTTCTCTCTCATGTGCATTATAGAAAGTGATTTGCTCTAAGACATTCTAACCTGATCACAGATTTAAAAAGAAATGTAAAAAAATAAATAAAAAGAAATGTATGTGCTACCATTTACAAAATAGTTTATAGTTTTCATATGCCCTTTAAAATGCCAATGTGACTTCAAATCTGTTGGGTTTTAGTAGAGTTTTGCAAACAATGCCAACTCTAAGGGTACCATCATAAGCTAAGGATGGTTTTCACATTTATGGTTGAAAAAATTTCATTTTTCATGACACAAGAAAATTATTCAAATTTTAGTATCCATAAATAAAGTCCTATTGAAACACAGCCACATAAATTTGTTTTTTTTACTGTTTGTAGCTACTTTTACACTACCTCAGAAGAGTTGAGTAGTTACAACAGACCATATGGCCACCAAGCCAAAAACATTTACTGCCTTTACACAGAAAGTTAGCCAGCTTCTACCCTACCAAATATGTCTTTCCCACTCTACTCCTCACCATTTGTATTTGATTTCTTCAGCAGAATGAACAAATAAGGCTACAAACTAATTTTTTTTTGGCAAAAGAAATTTTCAACATCTGCAGACAGTCAAATAAAATACATGGTCTGCTAAGAAAAGACAAGGACTGCTAGGTGCAAAAGCATGGCACAAGTTGTAACCGCAATGCTCAAAGCAAACCCTTCTTAAAAGTTCCTCCTGAGCTATTTTCAGGCATTGTGGAGGTCCTTGATTTCCCTCTGGAACCATTCTTAGTCTCCAGTGTCACCCTTTACAAGTAAGCTGGCAGAAATAAAAATGTAATGGAGAGGGGGCTCTGCTGTAGCCTCAGGGCAGTAACTCAATGGAGACAGCTGTCTGGGATACTTTGAGCTGTGGGTACAATAAGCCCTGGATTGCTTTGACGTAGACATCTCTGCATAGACCACTGAGTTTCTCTGCCCTTACTGCTTCATGTCTGCTTCCACCTACCTTCCACACATGCTCACACAACATACATGAGTCAGCTCTTTCCTCCATTAGCCTCCATAGTTACCTATCATCCCTTGTTATGCCTTCCAATTTAAACACTGTATCTTTTTGGATCTCCTTTCTCATGTCTGGCTTATCTGAAAGAAAAACCCTACAGCCCACCCACTCTTACAGCCTACCTCTACCTTTGGAAGCCCAAATAATGCCCGCCCCCACACATGGTGTTGACATAACCATAGTTACCCAATTCTGCTTTGTTTACCTGCTTAACACCTTCCCTCAGTAGTGTTCCATCTTGGAAGATGAGCTATGTGGTTTCTGTAACTATGTTGAACCTGAGTCATGAGGAATCCAGGGTTCAACTTAGTAGTACAAACCTGAGGACACAGAGGTGTGGGTAGAGGGCTCCTGTTACAGCTGCTAGTCATGGCAACAATTTCACCAGTCACACTGTCTTTGAACTGGTCAGTGACTCAAGTGGTAACACTGTGTGAAGCTTCCTCTTCCCACACAGAAATTATGAGCATCTTTCCCAATCCAACAATATTGTTTGACCATCCTATATGCTACAGATCCATTCTGATATTGAGGTATCTGCTATTTTATTACCTTAAAAGGGCAAATTAATTTAAGTGCATGTGCTAGAGAAAAGCTACCATGTAAATTCAATCCAAGTAAATAGAAGCATAGGTAAATCCTGAAAAAATAGTCCCTACACAGATAGGTAGACCAATGTAAACTTTCACATCATTCAGCTCTCTAGCTCTTGCATTCTGAGCATTCTTGCTTTGGTTCTGACTTCTGGGAACTGCTTTGCACTTTTCCTGTAGATTTTTTGTTAAAGGAACCAAGGGCTCATTATGGGACAAAAGTATTGTTTGTATTCAAAGTGGCAACTGTTCTTTGTGTAGCTCTTGATTTAAACCAAGAACAAAAATTTGCACAGAAGATACCGTGGAGGAGTGAGAAGGTTTGAGAGCAGTAGCTGTGTAAGGAAGAAACCCTGAAGTTCCTGCTGAAGCCATACAGTGTTTTATAGGGTTCCTCCTAAGGCCTATGCTGAGATGTGGAAGTCACCACTCCTAGTCCTTGTTATCAAGATATCACTGAGTGTTCAGTAATGGTACTTACTACATTTGCAATGCGCATCTCATCATAATGCCTCAGTAGTTTACTCCCTTAGAAACATTTAGATGTGCACAAATTAATCTTTTATATATTTAAAAAATTTTCTACCCTGTATAAGATTGCTCAGAATAAAGTGTCTATGAATAAATTTGTCTATTGGCAAATAAATTCTCCCTAGTGTGGATTAATAATATAAAAATATGTAAAAACAGAATATATCTATATAACCTCTCTGTATCATTCAGAAATAAAAGTTGATTCCACATGTTTATGGCTTGCTTTCTCTGAGTCAGCAACAATCTTTCTCCAGCTTCACTTCACATTGACTTTTATTTGGACCCCAGCCAGCTTGGCACTTGGTACTGGAGGACTATAGATATTCAGGCCTTCCTGGCCACCCGAGTGTCATTCTCCTTTCAGTTTTACATTTCATGTATCAGTTTGACCACTATGCTTTCAAATACATTGTTTACTCTTCGGTTGAACAGTTTCTGATTTTGGGAAATATCTCCATCTTTCATGATAACTTGGTTTTGCCAACTCCTCTCTTCTCTGTCCCTTGGTCTATATTTACTTTTAAATTGAAAGGTACTTATCTAAGTGTTGGAGGACATGATTAGCATAGGAAAGGACCTGGTTTGATCCCCTGCACTACACACATGAGTGCACACACACACACACACACACACACACGCACCATTCAATGTCATTTTATTTTCAGTTGTTTTATTTTTAAACTTTTATAACTTTCATGATAAACCGGAGTGAGGAATCAAAACGAAACAAAACAATAAACAGATCTGGACTTCTGCTTTCTAGAAAGAAAGTTGTTGGATGAGCCAAATGAGAAGTCACTTTATAGTAACCGAGGTACCTACCACGTGTTCCCATTACTGATAAGTTCTGGGGAGATTTTCCTCTACGGAAGGAAGGGAAGAAGCAGAACAGGAGACAGATGTAATTGCAGGCAAATGAAGATGATGTTATTTCAAAGTAGATGGTGAGATTCGATCTGCTATGATTACCTAACTCAAGTGGAAGCAATTGGAGGTGGGCTGTGTCCAGTACTTGGGGAAAGGATGGGTAAAATGTGACAAGCAAACCCTGGTATACTACACGGTTGTGAGAAGCAACAAACCATATTCACAGAGCAACACGTAAATCATAGGGTAGAGTGGAAAAAGCAAAAGACAAACTCAGTATTTATATCATGGTGCTATTTACATAACTTCTAAAACAAAGCTATATTATATGCAAAGTCCATGCATATTTAAGGACTTAGCATACTGACTAAGTATATGGTGTGGAGCTCAGGGATGCCGTTGGAACCTAAATAAAAATCAAAACAGGACTCTTATGGCTGAAGTTAAAAAGTGGAGAAATGAAGACCAAGTTTCAGGAATCAAAGTCAGGACTTTCAGCCATAACTCATAGAAAAGCTGTGGGACTATCCCCTTCCACAGCTGCCCTTGCCCCTTTTCTCTGTGCCAACAGTGCCCATGTGCGGCACAGCTTGCCCCGAGGCCAGCTTGGTTGCATCATCATCCGGCACAGTCGTGGGGCTCTTAAGCTGGAGCCTTTGGATGCATCAGTCCTCAGACCCACCGCTGTGGGCTTTACGGAGCAAGGACACTTGTCTATTAGGCTAATTTTCCCGAGTAGTAGTTTTGTTTACATTCATTCAGAATAACTCTCTTTAACCAGCCGAAATTGTTTCTTTTCAATATGTAACCATTGTAGTAATACTCAGGTGATAGATATGAATAACTGTTACCCACTATCTCTAGCTTCTTCCCTGTCCAGGAAACTACAGTCCCTGACATTTGATCATGCTTTTCTTGTGAATCTTTTCTCCCTTAGATCAGTGAGCTGAATTACCCAGTTTTCCCTCATATTCAAATCTATTGCTACAGATTACTGTTGATCCTCATTATTCATGGCAATAGTTATATCCTACAAAGTAAGAGCACTGATTTGTGCATACTGATCTATTACTGCTAGGGGAACATAGGGCTAGGTTCCCATGAGCCTCAGGCCACAACTTTTCTGTCAATTGACCAATAATATATAAGCTTACTTTGTGTGTTTTTGTTCAAAGACACCTTATAGAATACATATCGTTGGTTTGTTAGCCAACAACCTGAATATAACTCACGGCTGAACAAAGCTTCTCTAACAGATGTATTTTCTTGGGTGGGAGAGCTCAGTCATGGAGCATGTGCGTAGCATATGCAGGGGTTGAGATTTGATTCCTAGCATCAAAACAAACAAACGTAAAAGGCACATCACAGGCTTCTTGCACTCAGGAACACTAGATACCCTTCATCCCTACAGTTGGGAGATATTTTAAACAGTCACATCACCAGTAAGAAAAATTCAAGAAGTCAAAAAGAAAAACTTTGTAGAACTATGTAGACTGTGGAAAGGGACACTTGTTTACAGTATGAGAGCTAAAATAAAAAGGCTTAGCCTTGTGCAGCCTCCACTAGGAGCATGTACCTCAGGAAACTCAATTTTATGCCACTGTGTAGATGACCATAAATGACAATAAGTGCCAGGAGTGTTGGTTTGGGGATATAAATAAATTTTAATAAGTGAATTTGCAAGAATGGAATCCATGAATAATGAAGATCTACCACGTGCCATAATTTAGCAGCCTTAAACAATGTGCACTTACCTATGTCATTTTGTGGGTGTGTGAAATCCAGGCTCACTGTAGCTGGCCTCCACTTCCGGTCTCTGGCAGGTGCAGTCAAAGTGTTGGTCCAGGGTCTCTCACGAGACTCCATCAAGGTGTTGCTGGGACAGAATCAGCACCTAAGCTAATTCACCTAGTTGTTGGCAGGACGCAGTTTACAAGCAGTTGTTGTGGAGCACAGGCCTTTATTGCTTGCAACCTATCAGTTGGAGGCTGCTGTAGGATTTTTGCCTTATGGTTCCATTCAACATGGCAGCTTGTTTCTTGGAAATCAGAGAGAAATGCTAACTAGATGGAAGTTACAACTTTTAATGTGATCTCAGCAATGATATCCAGTAAGTTTTGCTCTGTTTTTAGAAGTAAATCCATGGGTCCAGCTCACACTCAATGGGAGGGTATGTCATACAGTGTAAATACCAAGGGGGCCGTGGAGGCCACGTAAGAAGGCTGCCTACCACACTCCTTGCCCTTCTGCTAATTCCCCTGGGAGCAGCCTGCTGCTTCTCACCTATTCTTCAAGTTGTTTCTCCATGTTGCTCTTTTCTTTCCCCTTTCTGCTGCCTCCCCAGAATCTCTTTAGAACAGTCTCATTCTCATTTCAATCTTAATATCAAACCACCATTATCCCACCCGCTATGCCCTGTCCAATCTCTGTGTAAGAAAAACATTACACTCTTTCCTGAGCTAATGAGACCACTTTTCTACTATTTCATTGTCTGAAATCACACATAGTAGGATTTCAATCCTGGTTCTGCTTACTAGCCATATTACTCTGGGTGAGTTACTTAACTTCTTTGAGCCTTAATTTATCCACTTTTCTGCAACATGCATAAAATTTTCATCTTAAAGGTTTATGTAATAGTTAAGTGGAACTTAAGTGCCTAGCCTAGTGCTTAATATAGAGAAAGAATTTTTAAAAATTTAGTTCTCCTTTCCTCCCTCTTTTTTTTCCCTTCATCCAGCCCTCTCTGTTAGTCAGCCAACATCTTCAAATCAACTGCCAACCCTGGCTTTGGTTTCTGTCAACTACGTCAGTGTCTCATTTTCCCTTCTATGTCCTCTTCTAAATTGACAATTCCTTTAACTCTACTGTAGTTGTGATATGTCTTTACTTCTACCCTTACTCCTTCTTTTCCACATTTTTCATCTCTTATCTCTGCTTACTTTGACTGTTGATTTTACTTTTTATTTGGAAACAATTAGAAAAAAGTATTTTCGCTGGGCCGGGGATTTAGCTCAGTGGTTCTGCCGCCTGCCTCAAAAGCGCAAGGTCCCGAGTTCGATCCCCAGTACCAAAAAAAAAAAAAAAATTACTTTTGCTGACACATTTGCAAAAGGGTTGGTTGTCTATAGAATTCCTCATTATATTTCCTATGGAGACAGTCTCTTCGTCTATGAAAAACAGAAAATTAACACTCGAATGTTACTATCATATAATCCTGAGATGTCACTCAAGTTTCACCTATTGCTTTAATGAAAGTCCTTTATAGCAAAAAGATAATATATCTAGTTGTCATGTCTCTTTAACTTTCATTAATCTGATACAATTCTTCAGCCTTTCTGGGACTGCCATAATTTTGGCGTTTACGATGATTAGTCACAGTTATTCCATAGAATGTCCCTTGTCTAGGATTTGGCTTTGGATTCAGGTTACTCATCTTTGCCAATAATATTTTGGAACTGATTTATGATTTGCTCATTGCACCCTACTGATGTTCACTTTAAACTTGAATATGGTAATGTCCTCTGTAAACGTACTTTTTGCCCCTTGTAATTAATGAATATTTTGTTAGGGGAGGTGCTCTGTCTATTCATAGCCTGTTCATATGTTCACAGCCTGTTGCCTATTAATTTAAGAATTTTAAGACTTTTAATTTAAGAATTTATTTATATCAGTGTGAACTTGTGGAATCTTAGTTTATTCAGTAGGCTACAATCTATTAGTGGGACTGTTTATTTTTTATTTATTTATTTTTTTGGTACCAGGGATTGAACTTGGGACCTTGCACTTGAAAGGCAGGCAGCAGAACCAATGAGCTAAATCCCTGGCCCAGGACTATTTATTTTGATCTTCAAATTGGCCCTACTCTGGTTATTGGGAGCCCCTCTAGTGTGGTTTCTGTACTTTTTGATAATCCTTTTTATTTGAGCAATTATCTATTCTTTGGCTCAGATGGTCCCGGGTTCAGCTTGCATTTCCCTGCTCCACCCCCTAGACTCACCCATTTCTTTGCAGAGCCCTGACTGCTTTTAGTGGACAAAGGCATTTGGAAGCCAAGACCCAAGTGCTGGTTGTGCTAAATGCTACGTAGTGAGTCACTGCTCCCTGGACTTTTCCTAGGCAGAGTAAGAGCATGAACACACACACACACACACACACACACACACACCGCCTATAACTATTCTATATCCATTTCCAGGTCAATTTGTGTAGACGGATGTCCATAAGTTCACACTGATATTTCTCACTCTGAAACCAACTCCACCCTCACACAGATGCCCTCTCAAGCTAGTGTGCACTTGGACACCCTGAGAAGTGTGCCCACTCCCCATGTCTTTGTTACCCCACTG